GGATGGCCCATGAGGTCTCTTCCAACTCTTTGATTCTATGATTCTATAAGTGGGCTGCCTTGTTTGCCACTGTAGGTTGCTTTATTTATTTATTTACTTACTTACTATATTTATATGCTGCCCCTCTCAGCTCAGAGGCAACTTGGAGCTTTGGAGTATCTTGGGAGAAAGTGGCATACAAGCAAACATGAAAACATCCCTTGTGCAACAGTTTATACACACTATAACCATCTATATTATAAATATGACCAATAGAACAGTGCCTTCCCTTCCTCCCTACACGTGGGCTGCCTTGTTTACCATTGTAGGCCACTTTGGACACTCTTAGGTGAAAGCAGCATACAAATAAACAACACAACTTTCCCTTCCCAACAGTATACATTGACTATATCATAAATAGGACAGAGTAGTGCCTTCCCTTCCTCCCTACATGTGGGCTGCCTTGTTTACCACTGTAGGCCGCTTTGGACTCTCTTGGGAGAAAGGGACATAGAAATAAACAACACAACTTTCCCTTCCCAACAATATAGATCGGCTATATCACAAATAGGACAGAGTTATGCCTTCCCATCCTCCCTACACGTGGGCTGCCTTGTTTACCATTGTAGGCCGCTTTGGACTCTCTTAGGAGAAGGCGGCATACAAATAAACAACACAAAATAAACAACACAACTTTCCCTACATAATAAATATGACAAAGTAGTGCCTTCCCTTCCTCCCTACACGTGGGCTGCCTTGTTTACCATTGTAGGCCGCTTTGGACACTCTTGGGCGAAGACGGCATACAAATAAACAACACAAAATAAACAACACAACTTTCCCTACATCATAAATATGACAAAGTAGTGCCTTCCTTTCCTCCGTACACGTGGGCTGCCTTGTTTGCCACTGTAGGCTGCTTTATTTATTTACTTACTTACTATGTTTATATGCTGCCCCTCTCAGCCTTGTTTACCATTGTGGGCCACTTTGGACTCTCTTGGAAGAAAGGGGCATACAAACAAACAACACAAAACAAACAACACAACTTTCCCTACATAATAAATATGACAAAGTAGTGCCTTCCTTTCCACCCTACACGTGGGCTGCCTTGTTTACCATTGTAGGCCGCTTTGGACTCTCTTGGGAGAAAGAAGCATACAAATAAAGAACACAAGGTTCCCTTCCCAACAATACAGATTGGCTATATAATAAATATGTCAAATGGAGTAGTGCATTCACACGTTGCTCACCTTCTTTGCCACCATTGGCTACTTAGGACTCTCTTGGGAGAAAGTGGCATACAAGCAAACAAGAAAACATCCCTTTTGCAATAGTTTATATAGAGCATAACAATCAATATAATAAATATGACCAATAGAGTAGCGCCTTCCCTTCCACCTGACAAGTGGGCTGCCTTGTTTGCCACTGTAGGCTGCTTTATTTATTTACTTACTTACTATATTTATATGCTACCCCTCTAAGACCAGAGGCGACTTGGAGCTTTGGAGTCTCTTGGGAGAAAGCTGTATACAAATAAACAACACAAAATAAACAACACAACTTTCCCTACATCATAAATATGATGAAGTAGTGCCTTCCTTTCCTCCCTACACGTGGGCTGCCTTGTTTACCATTGTGGGCCACTTTGGACTCTCTTGAGAGAAAGCAGCATACAAATAAACAACACAACTTTCCCTTCCCAACAGTATAGATTAGCTATATAATTAATATGTCAAATAGAGTACTGCATTCACATGTGGCTCGCCTTCTCTGCCACTATAGGCCACATTAGGCTATATAGGCTCCCTACACGTGGGCTGCCTTGTTTACCATTGTAGGCCACTTTGGACTCTCTTGGGAGAAGGCGGCATACAAATCAACAACACAAAATAAACAACACAACTTTCCCTACATCATAAATAGGACAGAGTAGTGCCTTCCCTTCCTCCCTACACGTGGGCTGCCTTGTTTACCATTGTAGGCCGCTTTGGACTCTCTTGGGAGAAAGCGGCATACAGATAAACAACACAAAATAAACAACACAACTTTCCCTACATAATAAATAGGACAGAGTAGTGCCTTCCCTTCCTCCCTACACGTGGGCTGCCTTGTTTACCATTGTAGGCCGCTTTGGACTCTCTTGGGCGAAAGCAGCATTCAAGTAAACAACACAACTTTCCCTTCCCAACAGTATAGATTGGTTACATAATAAATATGACAAAGTAGTGCCTTTCCTCCCTACACGTGGGCTGCCTTGTTTGCCATTGTAGGCTGCTGTGGACTCTCTTGGGAGAAAGCAGCAAACAATAATAATAATAATAATAATAATAATCAAATAATACCTTATTTATACCCCGCCACAATCTCCCCCAGGGGACTCTGGGCGCCTTGATGAGGCCATGCCCATCGATACAGTGGAACAATGTAACACAAATAAACAACACAACTTTCCCTTCCCAACAGTATAGATTGGCTATATCATAAATAGGACAGAGTAGTGCCTTCCGTTCCTCCCTACACGTGGGCTGCCTTGTTTGCCATTGTAGGCTGCTGTGGACTCCCTTGGGAGAAAGCAGCATACAATAAATAATAATAATAATAATAATAATAATAATACAAAACCTTATTTATACCCCGTCACAATCTCCCCAAAGGGACTCTGGGCGGCTTACATGAGGCCATGCCCATCAATGCAGTGGAACTATGTAACACAAATAAACAACACAACTTTCCCTTCCCAACAGTATACATTATAGTATAGGATTATAGTATAGGATTATAGTATAGGAGCCCCCGATGATGCAGTGGGTAAAACCCCTGTGCCGGCAGGACTGAAGACCGACAGGTCGCAGGTTCAAATCCGGGGAGAGGCGGATGAGCTCCCTCTATCAGCTCCAGCTCCTCATGCGGGGACATGAGAGAAGCCTCCCACAAGGATGATAAAAACATCAAATCATCCGGGCGTCCCCTGGGCAACGTCCTTGCAGACAGCCAATTCTCTCACACCAGAAGCGACTTGCAGTTTCTCAAGTTGCTCCTGACACGACAAAAAAAAGTATAGATTGGCTATATCATAAATAGGACAGAGTAGTGCCTTCCCTTCCTCCCTACACGTCAGTTGCCTTGTTTGCCACTGTAGGCCGCTTTGGACTTTTTTGGGAGAAAGTGTCACACAAATAAACAACACAACTTTCCCTTCCCAACAGTATAGTTTGACTATATCATAAATAGGGCAGAGTAGTGCCTTCCCTTCCTCCCTACACGTCAGTTGCCTAGTTTGCCACTGTGGGCCGCTTTGGACTTTTTTGGGAAAAGTGTCACACAAACAAAAAACACAACTTTCCCTTCCCAACAAGATAGATTAGCTATATCATAAATATGTCAAATGGAGTAGTGCATTCACACGTGGCTCACCTTCTTTGCCACCATTGGCTACTTAGGACTCTCTTGGGAGAAAGTGGCATACAAGCAAACATGAAAACATCCCTTTTGCAATCGTTTATACACACTATAATGATCAATATAATTAATATGACCAGTATAGTGCCTTCTCTTCCTCCCTGCACATGGGGTGCCTTCTTTGCTATTGTAGGCCGCTTTGGACTCTCTTGGGAGAAAGTGGCATACAAATAAACAACACAACTTTCCCTTCCCAACAGCCTATATTGGCTACATAATAAATATGACAAAGTACTGCCTTCCCTTCCTCCCTACACGTGGGCTGCCTTGTTTACCATTGTAGGCCTCTTTGGACTCTCTTGGGAGAAAGCAGCATACAATAATAATAGTAATAATAATGACAATATAAAACCTTATTTATACCCTGCCACAATCTCCCCAAGGGGACTGGGCGACTTATATGAGGCCATGCCCATCAATATAGTGGAACAATGTAACACAAACAAACAACACAACTTTCCCTTCCCAACAGTATAGATTGGCTATATCATAAATAGGACAGAGTAGTGCCTTCCCTTCCTCCCTACACGTGGGCTGCCTTGTTTGCCACTGTAGGCCGCTTTGGACTTTTTTGGGAAAAAGTGTCACACAAATAAACAACACAACTTTCCCTTTCCAACAGTATAGATTGACTATATCATAAATAGGACAGAGTAGTGCCTTCCTTTCCTCCCTACATGTGGGCTGCCTTTGGACACTCTTGGGAGAAAGCGACATACAAATAATCAATACAACTTATCCTTTCCAACAGTATATATGGGCTGTATAATAAATATCACAGAGTTGTGCCTTCCTTTCCTCCCTACATGTGGGCTGCCTTGTTTACCATTGTAGGCCGCTTTGGACACCCTTGGGAGAAGGCGGCATACAAACAGACAACACAAATAAACAACACAACTTTCCCTACATCATAAATATGACAAAGTAGTGCCTTCCCTTCCTCCCTACACGTGGGCTGCCTTGTTTACCATTGTAGGCCGCTTTGGACTCTCTTGGGAGAAAGCAGGATACAAATAAACAACACAACTTTCCCTTCCCAACAGTATTGATTAGCTATATAATAAATATGTCAAATGGAGTAGTGCATTCACACGTTGCTCGCCTTCTCTGCCACTATAGGCCACATTATGATATAATTATTATTATTATTGTTGTTATTATTATACAAGACTCTCTTGGGAGAAAGTGGCATACAAACAAAGAAAACATCCTTTTTGCAATAGTTTATATAGAGCACAACAATCAATATAATAAATATGACCAATAGAGTAGTGCCTTCCCTTCCTCCCTACACGTGGGCTGCCTTGTTTACCATTGTAGGCCGCTTTGGAATCTCTTGGGAGAAGGCGGCATACAAATCAACAACACAAAATAAACAACACAACTTTCCCTACATCATAAATATGACAGAGTAGTGCCTTCCCTTCCTCCCTACAGAACTTTCCCTTTCCTAGTAGTTTCCACGCCCGAGGAGGGCCTTCCCACGTGGGCCGCCTTGAGGCCTCTGCGAAAGGGCGAGGAGAGCGGCCTGCAAGTCCAGAGAGGCGGCGGGGACTCACTGTGGCGGGAGGCGCAGGGCCGGGGCGCTCCTCCGCTGGAAGGCCCCGTCGACGAAGACGCCGTTCTTTCCGAGGCAGCTCAGGTAGAAGTGCGGGGCGCGGAAGGCGAGCTCGAGGTGGCGGCGGGAGATGAAGGAGGAGCGGCCCATGGGCACGTCCACGGCGCCCTGCGAGGAGTTGCGCCCGATGGTCACCGCCGCCCGCCGCACCAGGAACTCGAAGTCGCGGCCTAGCAGACGGGCCAGCGGCGCCGACAAGGGCTCCCCCGCCGCCGAGGAGGAGGGAGCGGGTCCCGCCGGAGGAGGAGGCGAGGGGGCCGAGCGAAGCTCCAGCAAGGCCCGCGCCCCGCTCCGCTCCTCGCCCGCTTCCGCCATCTTTGCCCAGCCAGGCGAGCAGGCAGGGGAGGAGGAGCCAAGGCCGAAAGGGAGGGAAGCAAGCAAGGAAGGAAGCAAGGAAGGCAGGCCTCCGCCTCCTAGGCCGCTTGCCACGCTCTGGGCCCTCAAGTGTTTTGGACTTCAGCCCCCAGAGTTCCTCCTCATTGGACTCAACAGCTGAGGCTCACGGGAGTTGGAGTCCCAAACTCGAGGCCTAGCTAACCAAACCTCTAATCTGGGCCCTCAAGTGTTTTGGACTCCATCCCCCAGAGTGCCCTCTCATTGGTCTCAACAGCAAAGGCTCACGGGAATTGGAGTCCCAAACTGGAGGGTTGGTCAACCAGGCTTCTACTCTGGGCCCTCAAGAGTTTTGGACTTCATCCCCCAGAGTGCCCCCTCATTGGCCAAAGTAGCTGAGGCTCATGGGAGTTGGAGTCCCAAACTCGAGACTTAGGTAACCAGGCCACTCTGGGCCCTAGAGTGTTTTGGACTTCACCCCCCAGAGTGCCCCCTCATTGGCCAAAGTAGCTGAGGCTCATGGGAGTTGGAGTCCCAAACTGAGGCTTAGCTAACCAGGCCAACCCCCAGAGTGCCCCCTCATTGACCAAAGTAGCTGAGGCTCATGGGAGTTGGAGTCTGAAACCCAAGAGTTGGTGAAGCAAGGACTCTACTCTGGCCCTCAAGTATTTTGGACTTCAGCCCCCAGAGTTCCCTCTCATTGGACTCAACAGCTGAGGCTCACGGGAGTGGAGTCCCAAAGAGGCCTAGCTAACCAAACCTCTAATCTGGGCCCTCAAGTGTTTTGGACTTCATCCCCCAGAGTGCCCTCTCATTGGTTCAAGTAGCTGAGGCTCACAGGAGTTGGAGTCCCAAACTCGAGGCTTGGTCAACCAGGCCTCCACTCTGGTCCCTCAAGTGTTTTGGACTTCATCCCCCAGAGTGCCCCCTCATTGGCCAAAGTAGCTGAGGCTCATGGGAGTTCGAGTCCAAAACTGAGGCTTGGCTAAACAGGCCTCCACTCTGGGCCCTCAAGTGTTTTGGACTTCAGCCCCCAGAGTGCCCTCTCATTGGTCTCAGCAGCTGAGGCTCATGGGAGTTGGAGTCTGAAACCCTACTCTGGTCTACTCTGGGCCCTCAAGTGTTTTGGACTTCAGCCCCCAGAGTGCCCTCTCATTGGTCTCAGCAGCTGAGGCTCATGGGAATTGGAGTCTGAAACCCAACTCTGGTCTACTCTGGGCCCTCAAGTATTTTGGACTTCGGCTCCCAGAGTGCCTCCTCATTGGTCCAAGTAGCTGAGGCTCATGGGAGTTGGAGTCTGAAACCCAACTCTGGTCTACTCTGGGCCCTCAAGTGTTTTGGACTTCGGCCCCCAGACTGCCTCCTCATTGGTCTCAGCAGCTGAGGCTCACGGGAGTTGGAATCCCAAACTCGAGGCCTAGCTAACCAAACCTCTAATCTGGGCCCTCAGGTGTTTTGGACTTCAGCCCCCAGAGTGCCCCCTCATTGGCCAAAGTAGCTGAGGCTCATGGGAGTTGGAGTCCAAAACCCAAGAGTTGGTGAAGCAAGGCCTCTACTCAGGGCCCTCAACTGTTTTGGACTTCAGGCCCCAGAGTGCCCCTTCATTGGCCAAAGTTGAGGCTCATGGGAGTTGGAGTCCCAAATTTGGTTAACCAGGCCCTCTACTTTCATGAAAGAAAGGAAAGCTTAGAAAAGAGTATGATACTGGGGAGAATGGAAGGGAAAATGAAGAGGGGCCGACCAAGGGCAAGATGGATGGATGGTATCCTTGAAGTGACTGGGTTGACCTTGAAGGAGCTGGGGGTGGTGACGGCTGACAGGGAGCTCTGGCATGGACTGGTCCATGAAGTCACGAAGAGTCGGAAACAACTGAACGAATGAACAACAACTACTCTTGATATCGAGCTAGAATTTGGAGGCTCCCACCCACGAGAGAGGAGCTCTTAGACTCACGAACGAGAAAAGAGAAAAGAGCCAAGAATTTCCCCTGAATTTTCCCAATAAATCTCACCAAAGTTGAAGAAAAGCCACCGAGTTGTATTTATTTGGTCCAGCTGGAACAGATGTCATCAGGAGAGACATACATGCAGTGAATTTTGGTCCAAGGCCTCTACTCTGGCCCCTTGAGTGTTTCGACCTTTGGCTCCCAGAGTTGCTTCTCATTGACCACAGTGGCTGAAGCTCATGGGAGTTGGAGTCACAAACCCAAGACTTTGTTCGCTAGGCCCTCTATTCTGGTACTCCAAGTGTTTTGGACTTCTGCTCATTGGCCAAAGTAACTGGGGCTCATTTCCTAGAGACCTCTGAGAAACCTCTGGCTGCCTGCTGTAGATGCAGGTGAAGTGACAAGTGGAGTGCCGCAGGGTTCTGTCCTGGGCCCGGTCCTGTTCAACATCTTTATTAATGACTTA